AGGGCAAACATGTCCGCAGGGCACAGCCGGGGGCGCACAGCCTGGACTTCGGGACACTGCGATAGGGAACGGGGGACTCCACACAGGAAGCCGGGCAAAGATGGCGAGCGGAGACAGCGGGAGAAGCGCGGAGTCGTCCTACTGAACAGCAAATGCCCCTGCCTCTTGGATGCCCCCCCACCCCCATGCCGGCCTTCCTCTTCCCGCCCGCCACTCTCTGCAAACCCTGTTCTCTGCAGAGACTGCGCCAGCGAAAGACCCTGGGGCAGTGGAGAAAGGCTTTGTAGGTACAGTCAGCATACCCCAGTAAGGAGGTGTGCCTCATAGACACTTTTCTGTTTGGAATTTGAAGGAAACAAAGCAGAACAAGATGGGGGGTTTTCTGTTTGTGTTTTTGTCCATTTTGGAACCGGCCACACCGCGCTCAGCCAGTGAGCGCACCGGTCATCCCTATATAGGATCCGAACCCGAGGCGGGAGCGCTACTGTGCTCCGAGCGCCGCACTCTCCCGAGTGCGCGACGGGCTCGGCCCAGAAGAAGATTTTTGATTTCTTTTTTTTTTTTTTCCTTTTTATCTTTTTTACTGACCGGTAACGGAATCGCAACCCTCGGTGTCGCACCCTTACCAGGGACCAGCAACAGGATCGCAACCCTCAGTGTTGCACCTGCACCGTGCTCAGCCAGTGAGCGGGAACCGGTCTCNTGCTCAAATCAAAATCTTGCAGGGTCCTGAGATAAGAGCGAAGATGAGAACAGAAACCAGAGGAGGCCTTGGCGAGACCTTGTACCTGACCACAGAAGCAGACCCCTAACACATCTTCTCTCCTGCTTTTCACCTCCCACATTCCATTCCCTCAACCCTCCTTAAAATACTCCCCACTAGACATAAACCTTTGAGATGGGATAGTCTACCATCTCCTTCAACTGAATACATCTACTTTTCTAACACCAACCATTTGACTTCTGAGGTTTTTTCCTTCTCAAGGGGGTGGGCAACAGAAGTTCAGTAACAAACATGCAGAGGATGTTATAGTTCTGTTAGGAGAATCTGGCAGAACTAGAGACAGAAAACAAAGTAAACAAAAAAGTGAGGTAGTATTACCTCCATGAAAGCTATTTAGGCAATGTAAACTTCAGAAAGTTTGTGGAAAAAATTATTAAAAGATAATACAAATCTTTCCATGAATTTTTTGAATACCCCTCATACTTACATAGTCATAAGAAAACAAATTTTGAACTACATGATTTAATTAAATTGAGGAAGAAGGGGACGTGAGGGTGACGAGAGTTCTAACTTCTCATCTCACACAATTGAAATATAGTGGCTAAACTTCAGGAGTCTAGAAAAGGCTGTATAATCCTACTATTTTTTAATATGTAGATTAAGTACTGATTAAATATCTTAAAAAGCTAAAGGTGATGGCTTTCAGAGAGTAGAACTGTTAAAGTTACTTAACTTTCTAAATACGCTCATGCTCAGGCTATTATCACTTGGCAGCCAGATATTGCTCCTTCTATGTGAAAAGGAAGAGCTCCTAGCTAAAGGAAGCGCGCGAAGCAACATGACATTGATACAGGTCCACTGGACTAGTCTTCAGGAAATTGGAATTGTAACCCAAAGGAGCTACTGAGTCCTGTGTTCTCAGGCAATTTACTGAACTACAGCTTGCTCTTCTTTACAATGGGAGGCTCAGACAGCTTGCCTATGTTGGCAAGGAGACGCCTGACGGAGGTAAGGCTAAGTGCTGTGAGTTGGCAGTTTTGTTCTATGACAAAAATTGAGCAATAGATGAAAACTCCGTTGATGTTTATTACCTCATTGATGCTCAATGTATCAGCACCCAATAATTACAAAGCCCTGTATGAGTCCTCTTCCTTATTCACCTTTTTCAACTCCCTCCTGCCTCCATACGTGTAAATTTTAAACATTTCCATGTTTCATTGCTAGAAATTGTTCTGCAAATCTAAATTCATGATTCAGTGAGGAACTGGGAAAGAGCATAGAACAATTGGGACAAAAGTTCTTAAGGATGAAAAGATACAAACTGAACCAGTGGAAGGGAGGGGCTGTGAACTTCAGGAGCATTATCACACTTAAGATTAAAAGCTAGGATTCTACAAGCCAGAAATGACTCAAAAGTTTTGGGATGTTTAGGGATTCAATGAGCTGCTACCTGAGTTGAGTTTCCCAAGAACTGGGACAAAAGGAAACAGCTTATTTTGAGCCAATGAAAAGAATAAACTGAGAACAAAGGGAGAAGTGTTGTAGGCACCTTCGGCTGGAACTGGCTCTGCATTACCATGGGGCAGGAGACAGAAAATAGAACCTGGATTAAATCTGCTTCACCTAGTTTTTCCTTTTTATTCTGTAGTGCCAATTCCATTAGCACCCAGTTAAGAACCTACATGTGCTTTCCTTTGATCCTAAATACTTATGCCTTTACCTTTCTCTTCTTCGATTTGTAGAATCTGGGCATTCTGGTTTTTTAACGCTGGACATTAGAGAGGGCCTAAGCAAATTCAAGGACAGCTAACATTTACAGTATACTTAACCATCAACCATGCCAGGCCTTTCACTTGCATTATCAATTCAGTCATCAAAAACCTTGCACAGTCACTCACCCAGTAAGTGGGAGAGCTGAAACCCGACTTTGAAGATCACCCCTTTTTACTACTGTGTCTGCTTTCTAGTGTGCTGGAGTCACACACCAAGAGCCTATATGAGAGATTATCAGATGAGGCCCTCAAGACAAACGTCTTGAAACAGGAGGTCAGGTTGCCATCTCCCATCTCCATACATAACGAGATGTGGGTATTACAGTAATAGTACGTGGTAGAACTGGAAATCCTGACAAAAATCAAAAATGCTCCACGATAAGGCTCTTTTTCCCTAAACTTAGCTAAATCTTAATCAAAATCTTTTGAGCTACATTTAAACCATGGAACTGCCTACTATCTCTTCATATTGGTAAGAATGACACTCAAACTCTCCCTAAGATGTGTGAACTAGACTGATGACGAGTTCTTTTATCCTAATATGCCTTAAAAACAAAACTAAGCACTATGCCTTCACATATGAAAGCAGAGTTCAGATACCCCATTATCTGCTTGCTTCTATGGACCTTACTTACAGTGAAGGTTCTGGTTACACTGAGATTACATTAATGAGGGAGTACTTATTTAAGCTAGTTTTGACACTTAAGTATTATTTTATTTCCAGCACTTATGTTCATCCTTGAGTTACAAAGTTCTAGTACAACCTAGGGGGCTCCTTTTAAATATGTCTACCTATTTGTGATGGACAAACCAACAGGAACCATCAAACCACTGTGTAATTTACTTATACAACCTATCTCCCATAGAAGACATATTTGGCCTAGCATTTTTCATAGCTCTAGTACAGTCTTGCAAAGCACCCTAGGATTTCACTGATCCACATCTAACGGTGCCTAAAAAACATCTATGCTTCCTATCTTGTCACATGAATCCATGCATGTCCCAGACTTTCAAAAGCAGTGATGTTTATCAAAATCAGCATTTTGCCTCATGGAAACATAGGCAGCATCTGGTAGTAAAGAGGGCAACAAGATGTGACTTAAGCAGAACTGCATGAAAACTAGAGTGATTTCATCATTCTGCTTTGCAATAGAGTTATTTCCAGAAATTAACTGATTGAAAAGCAGAAAATAACTATGTTAAAATTTTACTAACTCAGAAAAGGCTGAAAGTTGGATTTAACAGTTTATTATGATTTATAAGTGTCATTTTAAAAACACCAGTTGATTAAACCATGTAGAAATAAGTATGCAAAAAGTCTGCAAAACAAATATACTTTAAACATGTTTAAGTAGATAGACGATCTGAAATTTCAGTCATTCAGTCACTTCATTACTACGCTATGGCAGCCAAGTAATCCTTCACTTCAGTAGGAGTAAGCCTCCGAAATCCAGCTTCATTGCAGATTCCAACTTCTATGTTATCCTCTGTCATTTGCCCTTCAAAGCTTTCCTATTAAGGAAGAAGGAAAAAGGTCAATTTTCCAAGCAGTTAATTATAATAGCAATTTAAATCCTGTTGTTAAATGTTGAACTAACCTTTAGGGTTAAGATGGCTGTATGAATGGCATCTTCAAGCTCCAGATCTTCATTATATCTAAAGCATTTTTTAAAAAACAATGACTTATGACGCTATTGACATTCTTTATGACTATTTAAATACAATGATAGCAGCAGCATATGATTTTTTTTTAATCTAAAACACTCTTAAAAATATTAAATCACACATTAATACTTTTGGTCATTGAGATAGCTGTCACTGGATAAGATATTGACAATTATTTGGTGCCCAATTCCCAGCATCATGAAAAGAGCGTAACACTAAAATGACTTTATTTTAGGAAACTTCTTAAACATAAATACGCTCATGCTCAGATATGGAGGCAATATAATTATAGTCAAATATAAATCAGAAAATCAGACCTTTGTTAAAATACCTTGTTTGTTCTTGCTATATGTTACAACATGGGAAATGTTTAGAAGACTCAATGCAGAAAAGGAAAAGAAAAGTGCTTTAAGGTCCTAAGATTATTAAGCTTACCATTTAATCCCAGGCCCAAAATTTTTAATAACCTTATGTGAAAAATGTACTGAAAAGGTACATCTGTTAGTTAAAGTCAATTACAAAATTCTCCCGTTTAAAAGTCAGACATTTTTGGAGCATTACAAAAACACTGAGTCTAGAATACAGCTGGAAATAAATGAGAGCAGGTTATTGCTCTCAGGCACTGACAGCAGATTTTTTACATAGTTCTCCACTCTTTATCAAACACTTACAATCACACAGTTAATCTACCTTCAACACAGATATTTGGTTTCACAATTTTTTTTT